CGACCGCCGGACGCGCAGGGAGGAGACCGCGTCGCCTGTCCTCTCGGTTCCGCGGGAAGGTGCGGGCCTGTGGTCTGCGCGCGGACGAAAAGAAACCCCTTGCTCTGCTGGGCCGGGCACTTCCTCACGTATCGACTCGCGCGGTAGTAAGAATTTTTGTAGGAAGATACTCTTAGGAGCCCCATTTTACAGAGGGAGAGGGGACTGGCCACCAATACTTAGTTTCCTAGCGAGGACTTGTACTCGGCCTAGCCCTGGGTCTGGCCTGTGCTCTTGGCCGCTGCTGTTTTGCCTCTGGTTGGCTGGTTACTCTGTATGTTTACACGGCACTGATCCACTCCAGATCCACTCCACCTGCTTACCCTCGTATGAAATGGGTACAAACCCCACACGGGGTTGCTGCACATCAAGCACCGCTGACAGTGTGCTGTTGGTGCTGCTTCAGTTGATTACTCGTAGCTTTTGAACCAGCAGCAGGGGCGGCCTGCATGTTAAGAGGAATTCAGGGCCATCTCGATGCAGGCCTGGGTCCCCTATGGGACTTGCAGTCTCCTCTTTGCTGTAAGTGAATTGGAATAACCCTGACAGGGCCCCTGATCACAGTGTCTTCTGGAGCAGGTTCAGAAGTGTTCCTCCACACAGGAATACTCGCCAGTAAATCAAGCATCTCCAGCGACCGTTCCCCACCCCCTCCCTGTGTGGAACCCTCATTGCCTTCCCTGACACCTTCCCCATTTCCCAGTCTTTGAGGGCCAAAGTAGTGCCAATCATGCCAATAGTGCCAATCAATTTCAAACTCAACTTGGAACATACAAAGCAATCAGAAACATACCAAAAACTTTACTAGAAATACAGAGGAAAAAAAAATAAAATGGTCTTAGAGGCTTCCCTTCCCTCCAGGATGGATGTACAGATAAACAGATGGAGCTCCTAGGTCGGATGGGGCTGCTCCCTAATCCACTTCCTCCTCTTCCAGGAGCAAGGCATCCAGCTCCTCCAGCCGCTGCTGCAACAGGGGTCCCACATCTGGGCCGGGGGCCAAGTTGGGAGTAAGGGTCCTGCCAGCAGCAGCTCGGACCCCACGAGACGGCCGCCGGGATCGAGGAAGGCTGCTGTCCCGAAACTCCATAGCCCGCCGCAGCTTCCTCGAGCTGGTCAATATCAGAGTCCCATTGCGCACCCGGGGTTCCTCAAAGATGGTCTCAAATGTCCTGGACCAGGCAGGGAGAGGTGCTAGTTACCAGCACGCCTCTGGTTCGAGCCTTCCCTCTATCACCCCCAAGCCTTCACCGTTTCTCACCTCCTGGTTGTAGGTGACTGATAATTCTTGTTGGTGTAAATTTCTTCCAAGCTGAACTCCTTCTTGTTCAACCTGCGAGCAAAGAGCAGAGGCCACTGAAAAACCTGGGACCAGTGGCGCCTGGAGACGGGAGAAGCAGGGCCTGGTCTGTATTTCAGTTTCCGGGACATGTCAGATGCCAGAACTGCCTGAGGCAGACAGACAGTTCTAAGCACAAATCACCAGACTGGACTGTGCTCCCCGAGAGGAGACAAAGCCACACTTAAGGGAATGTGAGTCAACATCTGTCTGGCCAAGGCAGCTCCACATACAATAAGCATTCACCTGATTGGTCGAGGCAGCCCCATTGGTGTAAGGTTTAGTTGAGGACGGGCCAGTGTCCTGCGTATTCTAAATCGAGAAACCTTTCCCATGGTCTGCAAAAATGGGGCAGAGGGTAAGAGTGCAGTATGGGCACAGGCTCCCACTTAGCTCCTCCCCCTCATCTGTACACCTACCTTGGTCTCGGGGCCAGAAAGCACTTGGTCCTCTGAGGCCCGTGGCTCCTTGCCCTTGGTCGAGCCCAACCTACAGAGAAGATGAAGGCTCAGGGACAAAAAATATTCATAGCAGTATCCCCATCTCCTGCCCATGGGACACCAGGGCAGGAGGCCAGGCCCAGGCGGTGGCCGGGGATTGAAGGGCTGATTGAGAGCACTACCTGGGTTCTGCAGGTTCAGAGAAGGAGGAAGTGGATGCAGAGGACGAACAAGATGTGCCGAGGGGAGGAGAGCCTCCCACTCCTCCAAGAGGGAAGACCTCTTTCCGGAGACAGGGTCGAGGGGGTGGCGGGGCTCCAGCCATCTCCCCACCACCCACAGTGTGCCGTCGAGGCCGTGGCCGGCTTGGGTGGTGTGGAGCAGGGGGCCAGCTGCAGGTATCTGAGCCAGGAGGCCCCAGGTCAGGGCAGGAGTGGCTTCGGCCCAGAGATGGCTTAGGAGGAGATGCTGGGGGATTGTGGGCTTGGGCTCGCCACTGGCGGGGGCGGGGACTGACAAAGGCAGTATCCTCAGCAGCCCTGGACTGCTCAGCCTCTGAGATGGCAATCTTCAACTCCAACTTCATGGGGGGTGAGGGGGGTGGGGGCTGTGGGGCTTTGATGGGTGTGAGGAAGATGTCTGCAAAGCTCTCTAGCTTGGAGCGGACAGAACGGAAGAGGGGAGCCAAGCCCCAGGGACTGAGGCGAGGGCGTAAAAGGCTGGACGGCGGTGGGGTCGATGGGGCTTCCAGAACCGGATCTGGGGCTGAGGAAAGGAGAGGGTCACAGGTGGGCATTCCTCAGCTGCAGGTGTCTAAACCCCAGTTTAGTAACATCAGCTCCTCCCCAAACACTAAACTGCCCACAGAGGAAGCCTATTCCTAAAAAAACCCCTACATTTAGGAGTTGGACAACAGGCCTCTGAGGTCAAAATCCCTTCTTCACATACCAAGCTCTGCCCTGGGAGGGGGTGAAGCCCCTCTGCATCGGACACTGAGCTCAGCTAGGGTTTTCCAGAGCCCCACACCTCATCCCTGTCTCAGTCCTTACTTGGTGATGGGTTCTCCAGAGGGTCTGCAGGCAAGGCAGATGGCTGGAAGGGGGGTTCCAGGTCCCTGGACGGAGGCTTTGTCTGGTGACTCATCATCATGGACTCAGCTCTGGGGTGAAGGGGCAAGGTCAAGGCTAGGGAAGCTCCCAGATCCAGATCCCACCTAGCCAGCACCTCCCCTGTCCCTTAAGGCTACTGAAGGTGCTACATGGAACTACCGAACAAGAAAATGCTAATGCCCTAGTTCTGGCTGCCTGTATAATGGTTGTTGTCTGGGTATCTTAATAATTCCTTCCCCAGCCCTCTCACCTTCTCGCTGGGACGATGAAGTTGGGAGTCTTGTCCGCCAAGTCCTGGATATAAACATGGGATGTTGGTGGGGAGGCAGGGAAGCCTCCTTAGCTTCCCACATCCCAACTCTCTCAGCCTCCACATGCCTGCCTGGGTTACACTAAAGACTTTTTCAGCCCTAGCTGGTTTGGCTCACTGGATAGAGCGTCAGCCTGGGGACTTAAGGGTCCCAGGTTCGATTCCGGTCAAGGGCATGTACCTTGGTTGCAGGCACATCCCCAGTAGGGGGTGTGCAGGAGGCAGCTGATTGATGCTTCTCTCATCGATGTTTCTAACTCTCTATCCCTCTCCCTTCCTCTCTGTAAAAAATCAATAAAATATATTTTTAAAAAAAGACTTTTTCATTTGGTCTTTGCTCAAGCAGTATCTTCCACCTAAAATGCTGTCCTCTCTTCTCTGAGCAAAATCTACCCCCGACAACTCTCCTGTCTTCTACCCTCACTGGAGTGCCTGCCCCAGCTGCACCCCTGACATCCTTACCGGAAGTTCCCATACCTCAGCTGGGGGTCTGGGACTGACAATGTCTTCTAGCATCACCACCAGAGTAGGCTGGGGTGCCGCTTGTGAAGGGTCTTCTTCTGGGCCAGAGGTTGTCTTTGATGGACACCTCAGGGTGGGAGAAGGCCGGTTGATGCGGCTCAAGGGCTCTCGGCATAAGTGCAGTGGATAGGCAGGCCTAGAAAGGGACCACAAAGATCAGAGGGGTTCAGCTATGTTACCAGCTCACCCCTATCCTGCCTTGCTCACCTGGCCTGCGATGACCACGTAGCCTGTTGGGGTGGCGAGGCAGGCAGCTGGTGGTGAACAGAATCCCAATGGTTGCTGTGGTGTGGTGGGGTGGAGGTCTCCTCTTGGGGCACCAGGGGGACCTAAGAGAGGAGGTGTCAAGAGCAAGGTGATGGCCCTAGCCAGTTTGGCTCAGTGGATAAGAGCGTCGGCCTGCGGACCAGAGGGTCCTGGGTTTGATTTCGGTCAAGGGCACCTACCTTGGTTGTAGGCTTCTCCCCAGCCCAGGCCCTGGTTGGGGCTTGTGCAGGAGGCAACCAATCAATGTGTTTCACATCAATATTTCTCTGTCTTTCTCTCTCTCTCTCTTAAAAAAAAACCAATGGAAAAATATCCTCAGGTGAGGATTAAAAAAACACACACACACAAAGAGCAAGGTGATGGAATGAGGTTGAACTGGACAGGGCCTCCCTGTGCCTGGCAGTGTCCTATGCCACAAAGTTGACAGAAGTTGTGGCTAATATTCACTCAAGATCTCCAAAGAGGTGAGTTAAACGGAATTGGGCCCAAATATTAGTGTTCTGCTGGTGTGGGATCTAGGTAATCTCACCCAAGCTGTTTAAAGAAATGAAAAAAAGAGAGTGATCTTGGGCGAGTGACTGCCCTGTTTGGGACCTCAGTTTTCCTCTGTGCAGTGGAGCAAATGATCGCAGTCTGCTGCCTAAGGTTTGCCTAGAAGTTGGGCTGGGAAGAAAGCAGGAGGGTTTATCACTCTTAGAGTTGTAGGGAGGTGGTTCCGGCCCAACGGGGTTGGCTGGCGGTGGGGAATGGGCACTGGAGACCCTGCCCGTCTTGAGGTTGGAGTTAGAGAGCCAAGCACACTCTAGCATTAGGGAGGCTGCCTGAGCAATGAGTGTGAGAAAGAGGTGTTCGTGCCTCAATCATCCTCACTGGTGAGCTGGCCTGATTGTACTGAGAAGGGACCCGGGGGAGAAGGGAGCCTCTCCTTTCAAGGGGCTCACCATATGGGCAGCCATGACATCTTCCAGCACCACGGCTAGGACCCGCCGAGAGGCCTTTTCCAAGGGTGAAGGGACCACGGGGAGCTGTAGCCTCGGCCGTTTCGGGCTTCTGGCTCCCCATGATGCTCGAGTCAGGGGCTGGCGGCACAGGCGCGGCTGGCCAGGGGGGCTGAGGACGAGAGAAGCGGAGGACAGCCGCTGAGCCTGTCGTTGGCTTCGTGGTTTCCCCTGTACGGTCACCAGGCTCCCCGTTTCCCGAGCTCAAGGCACGCTGGCAGGGTTCGCTCTCACCTGGAGTCCCCGGGCAAGTCCATGGGGGAAGCGGCGGCTCCGGGGAGTCCCTGGGGGATCCCAGGCTGCAGCCTGGGGTGGGAGGTGGGGAGCGGGGGAACGGGGAGTGAGGGCCAGCCCTTTCCCTGGGGCTCCGCCCTTCATGGTAGTAAGCAGTTCTCGGTAGCCGACGGGGCTGGAGACTTGGGGCGCGAAAAAGCGCCCCCAGTCGGCCGTCCGGAGCGTCTGTCTTCCCACTGCCGCCGCCGCCGCAGTCAAAGGATCGCTGCGAGGCACTTGCCGCCAGAACCTGGATTGTAGCGGCCCCGGCTCTCCCACGGCCCGAGCCTCCTGGGGCCTTTGTCCCCGTAGATTCTGCCCCGAGAACGGCCCCCACCTCCATTCCACCCCGGGGTCGGCTGGGATCCTGTCCGGAGCGGATCGGTTTCCGCCCGATCCCCAGCCACAGCCAGCGAGTGGCCGAGGACTCCGAAGCAATATTCCCACACACCGACGCTTCCCCTCCCACCAGATCCCTCCACTGGATCCGAGCGGAAGGAATCCTCCAGCGCGTTTCCTCCAATCAGACGCCGCGGGAGGGTCCTCTCCCCGGGAGCTTCGGCTCAGCAAAGCTCCACTCCAGGGCGGCCCGAACTTGAGCATCGCCAACTCTGTGAGGATCCCCGGGGACCCGCTGTCCAGCAGATGCCCCTCCACTCCAATCCCGGAGGTCCCGCCCACAGACCCCCTCCCTCCCCTTCCCCGCTCCCCGGGTCCCCGCCCAGCTCTCTCCCCAGCCCGGGACCAGAGGGTTCAAAAGTTTCCTTCCCTCCCTCCTCCCGCCCTTTCTGCAGCCGCTCGGTGCCCTCCCCCGCTCACTGCTTACCGCCGCCTCCCGCCGAACCCGGGTCTTCGACGGCTCCCACCTGCGGCTCCTTTAAAACTAGCCTAACCCAGTGCCGCCCAATCGCCGAGGGCCTTCTTCGCGGAGCCCCGGGCAGTGCCCAATCGCCGGCCCGCGCCTTGCTGGGTGGCGAGCAACCCCGTGAAGCCACCTGAAAGCCATCGCCTCCCGGGGTGCGCAGCCAAACGTGGCAGCACAGCTTTTGTGTTCGAGGGCAGATCTCGTTGTTCTCGAGGAACCAGAGTGAGCCGCGTGGCGTCACCTTCTGAGGGCCAGGCGGTGGCGGAAGCCGATGCCAGGTTTCTTGAGACAGTGAGACAACCGTCGCGAAGCTAGCTGGCCGCCACGTTTTTTGAGGGCATCTTCCGGTCCTTTCGCTGTTAGGCCAATCAATGTGAACTGAGTGCGAACGATAGGTGAAATTCCCAGTTTCCTAGAGAGGCTCGTCGAGGCCGGTTTGGTACCATCCTGGGTTCCTCAACCAGGTTCCCACGGCGCTGGGAAGAGGTTGGAGTGGGTGGTGCGGGCCGGAGACGAGGACGGGCGCCCCTTCCGGCTCCGTTGTTCGGCGGGGTCCTGGAGAGACCGAGCTGAGCCAAAGTGGGGAGGAGACTGGGGGCGTTGAGCTTAATTTACCCGAGTGTTGTGCACCTCTCAGGAAAAGGGGTTTCTGCGGCCCGCGCAGAGGGCTCCGGACAGGGGCGTCATTGCAGGAGACCAGTGACCTATTCGGCGTGCGCGGAGGGGTCTGGCCTCTTTCCTCTAAGGACCAGGCTTCCGTGAGCTCTCTTTCAAAAGGGGCCCGGCCGCGGAGGCGTGCACATGGCTCTTAGTAGTAAGGGATCAGGGTGGTAATCCCGCTGCTTGGAGCGGCTGCACCCTAGAACCTTTATCGGGAGCGGGCCCGGTGATGGGGAGGAAGTGGGTAAGTCCTGGCCCTTGCATTGTGAAGGCGTTCTCACTGCCTAACCAAAGCCAGTGCCTCCACTAGTTCTCCTTCCCAGGACTCCCTTGTCTAAACCAGTACATTTTTTAAAATCGATTTTTTAAGAGAGAGAGAAACACCTATTTTGTTGTTGTTGTTCCATTTAGTTTTGCATTCATTGGTTGCTGCTTGTATGTGCCCTAACCAGAGATCAAACTGCGAGGTTGATGTACGGGGAGGAGGCCCTCACCAACCGAGCTACCCGGCCTGATTTTCTTTATACAAGAGAGCCTGAAGCCTAGGCTTTCTTGCCCTGAGGTGCCTCCCCAGCTCAGCAGGATTCTCTCTTATGGGATTAAATGATAAAAGTAATTGCACAAAAGATGATACAGAAAGAGCAGAATTAGCAAGAGTTGGTGTGGAAAGTGAAAGCTCTCCAACTCTATAATCAAGGACTCGTCAATAGCTCTTCCAGGACTATGGCGACTCTCTAATGGCCTGCTGGGCCCTCTGGAATTCCATGATAAGGCTTCTGGTAGAAGTAGGCGGCAGCTCTTTCAGCTAGAAGTGTTCTCTCGCCCTGGATGGAGACTGGCTGCATAGTACCCGAGGATGTTCCTTGGCGGTCTGGTGATGCTCGGAGATCCTTCTCTCTCACTTAATTGCTTAAACACATAGGTATGTACTTCCCAGGCCTCAAGGCAAGAAAAGTTGCCAGGTCTGAGTTTTCATTCTCTAGATCTCCTGAAGAACTCAATGCCAAGGGCAAAGGAGGTAGTCTTAAAGAAAGGGCCTGGGACTGAGAAAGCTGGTAGGTAGAGCACAGCCCTACAACCCTAACTGGGGTGCTGGAGTTCATCAAATTGAAGTCTAAAGTAGACTCTGGTGTCTTGGCTCCCAGCCCAGGCCCGCAACTACCAGCCTTCATAGCTTCAAGATCTTATTTGGGCCCTCTTTGTGACTAGCATTTCAAAAACTCCTATCTTACCCATCACCTGTGTACACACTCTACGGCAGTGGATGAGGAAGATGAGGCCCAGAAATCAGGATTTTAAAAAGATTCCCAGGTGATTCTAATGTGCAGCCAAGGTTGAGAACCACTGCTCTACAGTGTGGCCAGAGGCCCCACACAGTCTCCAGCAAGCCAGGCGATGTGGCTGAATATTGGCTGTCGGCACTTCAGTGTATCATTCTTCAGAAACTCTGGGCCCCTTTAGACTGGTTTCCCACCTGCTTAACTTCCCTGGCTTCAGTATAATGAGAACAATAAACCCTGCCATGCCTTATCTCAAAATAGACTTGGAAGATCAAGATCAAGTGAGAAGACACATCTCAGTGTGCCTAATAAATAAGTTAAGTCTCAGGCTACAGGTAAAAAGAGGATGATAAAAACCACCTATTCTTCCTCTCAGAGTGTCCTATGCCTTGTCCTCCCAAGCCAGCTGCTCTGCTAAGTATCTTTCTCTGCAGAAACCTCTAGCCCAGTGATGGCGAACCTATGACACGCGTGTCAGAGGTGACACTCGAACTCATTTTTTTGGTTGATTTTTCTTTGTTAAATGGCATTTAAATATATAAAATAAATATCAAAAATATAAGTCTTGCCCTGACCGGTTTGGCTCAGTGGATAGAGCGTGGACCTGCAGACTCGAGGGTTCCAGGTTCGATTCCGGTCAAGGGCATGTACCTTAGTTGCGGGCACATTCCCAGTAGGAGGTGTGCAGGAGGCAGCTGATCGATGTTTCTCTCTCATTGATGTTTCTAACTCTCTATCCCTCTCTTCCTCTCTGTAAAAAATCAATAAAATATGTTTAAAAATATATATAAGTCTTTGTTTTACTATAGTTGCAAATACCGAAAAATTTCTATATGTGACACGGCACCAGAGTTAAGTTAGGGTTTTTCAAAATGCTGGCACGCCGAGCTCAAAAGGTTTGCCATCACTGCTGTAGCCTGATCTCCAGATCAGCCAGGGTGGGCTGGTTAGGATGTGGCTTTAGGCAGAGGTTCTCAACCTGTGGGTTGCGACCCCTTTGGCGGTCAAACGACCCTTTCACAGGGGTCGCCTAAGACCATCTTGCATATCAGATATTTACATTACGATTCATAACAGTAGCAACATTACAGTTATGAAGTAGCAACGAAAATAATTTTATGGTTGGGTCACAACTTGAGGAACTGTTTTTTAAAGGGCCAGAAGGTTGAGAACCACTGCTTTAGGGTGTTGAGATGAATTTGGGTTGCTGCCCTTGTTTGCATCAACCATGCAACAAAATGTCAATGCCTCCTATCTGCTATGTCCTGGGGATAGATAAGTGATAACCAGAATGGTGAGCCAAGGTTTTTTTCCCCCAGGGTCCTGTCTCACCACTCCCAAGAATGAGCTCCATGGACCAGAAGATTTAAGCAAGAGTGGAAATTACAAGCAGGTTCAGACTCCCCGCACGAGGAGGGGGGCCCAATAATGGGCTGCCCGTGAAAGCCTAGTCTAGGGGTATATATTTGCTACAAGTCTGTTCTATATCTACCCATGTAATCACCTGATTGATTCCCTCAATTGTTCTTGCCCAGCAACTGACCTGAACTTTCCCTGTTCTTATAAGTCAGTTCACCTTATTGTTGCAGACCCTCCCTAGATTCCTATGCCTCCCACTTGGAGTCCAGAAAAATGTTATTAGTTCTGCTTGATTGGCTTTTGTGATTAGGCTGCTCACACTGCCGTGTCTGCCCCTGCCTATGTTTCACCTGCCTTTGTTTCCCACTGGACCCCTGCCCTGTGTGCCTGCATTTCAAGCTAACTTCTCTCACCTGTCCCCAAGAGTTTGGCGTTTATATCCCTATATACAAAAGTGCCATTGGCTCTGCTGATTACCTCAGCTTCAGCCCTCTCCATCCTCAAGTACTCAGCCTGCCAGGTGTCAGCACATTCCTGCCCAATTTAATTCCTCTGCTGATGAGCTTTTATTTTTTTAAATATATTTTTATTGATTTCAGAGAGGAAGGGAGAGGGGGAGAGAGATAGAAACATCAATGATGAGAGAATCATAGATCGGCTGCCTCCAGCACACTCCCTAATGGGGATGGAGCCCGAAACCCAGGCATGTGCCCTTGACCGGAATCGAACCCGGGACCCACAGGCCAATGCTCTATCCACTGAGCCAAACCTGCTATGGCCTGAGGAGCTTTTAAGACCCACCTTTGGGGGCTCTTCCACTCTGGTCAGCTACTTCGAATTGTCAGCTACTTCGAATTGTTAGAATTTATCTGAAAAAGCTAGTACTACCCATGGTCTAACGCTCTCTCTTCCCCAGTTGAGAGAGCCCACCACCAGTTCCATCTTTGTCTTCATTTTTATGGGGGGGGGGGCGGGGGGAACGTGATAGGCCAGGATCAAGTTTGGAGGAACTGGTAAAGTGAGGATGTCGGGGAAGGGGAGAAGGTTTGAAGGATTGGAGAAAAAGTCAAGAAGGGTGAAGGGAGCTGCTTATCTGAAACAGTGATATGTCACTGTGCCGGTTATCAATTTATTATCTCTCAGCTCTGAATGTATTCTTTTTGCCTGCTCTGTGAAAAATGGATCTGGGCCCTTTAAATACTTTTTTCTTTGCTAGCTGAAATAAGTTTTGTCAGCTAGGGAGACATTGCAGGAAGAAAGGGTTTTGCTTCCTGGTTCCAGTGAGCCCTATTGGCAGGGTCCTGCAGTGCAAGTGGGTTCCCCAGCCCCCAGCTTCTGCAGTGCAGGCAGCGTCTCCAGTCCCAGGCTCCTGCAGGGCGTAGTGGCCAACAGCACGCAATGGCTAGCAGCTCCCCCTGGTATTCCCCTTGGACACTTTTGTGGTGGGTGCCTCTGGTGAGACACCTTTCCATTAACAGCTTTCCTTGACACCCTAGAGCAGGGTGGGGAACATCCAGCCCACGGGCCGTATATGCCCGGGAAATCATTTGGTCTGGCCCTGCCAAGGCATTAGGGGTGAGTTAGTTAAATGTTTAACCAAATATAGCAGGCTAATCTTTGTTTTATTTCTTGCAGCAGGCTAATTTTTAAATTGATAATTTTGTATGGCCCGAGAATGATGTTATAAATATCCAAATGGCCCTTGGCAAAAAAAAAAAAAAAAGGTTCCCTACCCCTGCCCTAGAGGGAAGATTTCCAGCAAGTTACACTGGAGTAGCACTTCCGTGATTTCTATCTTCTCTCCAAAAAGTTCTGGATCTCTGCCCTGGCCAGGTGGCTTAGTTGGCTGGAGCATCATCCTGTACACTAAAGTTGCAGGTTCGATTCCTATTCAGGGCACATATCCAGGTTGTGGGTTCAATCCCCAGTCAGGGTGTGTATGGGAGGCAACCAGTCGATGTTTCTCTCCCCCTTCCTCTCTCTAAAGAGAAATAAAAAACCAAAACAAAACATATCCTCTGGTGAGGATTAAAAAAAAGACCTGGATCTCAGCCCTAGGGAAGCCCAGGTAGAGGCTTTTTCTTGGTGCTATATCTCAGCAGGAGGGGTAGTGGCTGCTCCTATATATGATATTACTGTATTCTTTAGAATTCTCTTTACTTCTTACTATCTGTAGTGGGCAGAATTGTGTACCCCAAAAGATATGTTTCTAACCCCCCAGTTCCTGTGACTGTGACCTTAATTGTAAATAAAGCTGAACTTTTCAGATGTATTCTATGAGGTTATATGGTTTAGGGTGAGCCCTATTCCAGTGACTGGTGTTCTTAGAAGAAGAAATTTGGACACAGACATGTAGAAAGTAGAATGCCATGTGAAGACAAGCACAGAGACATATGGAAAGAATGCCATG